TGAAGGAGATGCAAATAAATTGGATGCACACACAAAACCAACCACATTGTCACTACAATTACAATCTTTTCTCATGTAAAATTAGACCACAAAGTTTGAAAACACTTCTAATAAAGCACAGATGTCACCTTTATGTGGCTGGTGCTAGCAGAGTTTGTTGTCTCCTGGTTCTGGGCAGCAGTTTGCTTAATAGACCTTATACATCCATGCACTGTACAGTGTCACCACTGAAGTGGGTATTCCGTCCGTCCATAGGGGGAAGCACGACGCAAATTGCTGCTTGGCACACCAAAAGGAGGAGAAGAAGGCAACAAACTAAGGGGGCTAGGGCTGCCTTCTATCATAATGCACACTGGCTGACAAAAAATAAAATGTAATAAAATATAAACAAGCTCAACTAGAAGGGTTTCAGTCAACTGACGGACCTCTTGCCTAATGATTTGACTAGTCAACTTTTAGGGGTAACCCTAGTTGTTGTCTTCTACAGGATTCAGGTGACAGGTGTTCTCATTGTCTGTTGCATGCAAGTCATTAGAATTCTTAAAGTTTCTGAGAACTTCTTGCTTTTCGGCTCTTGCTGTAGAACTCATTGTAAATTCAGCCACTAGTTTCTTTTTGTTAATTGCTTTAAAGGTTTTAGTTCATAATTTGGAGAATGTCAATTTTTTTCTTATACACTCCTTTTAATAAATGTATTGTAAAATTTATTGTTATATCTCCCAGAAGATTGTGCACAGTTTTCTTTCTTATTTCAACATGTTGCTGAAAAGTTTGACAAGTTGAAGGTGAAAATAAAATGACAAGCAAGATACAGACAGTGAGAGATGACTACTTCCTCCTTCCCTATTCATACCTCTTTTGGGTAAACGTTGTGATAGCAGTTTTTCCAATTCCTGAAACAGTATGAATCTAATCTCAAAAAAGAATGTTAATTTCAACCCTAAGGTTTTTTATTGGGAGAAGTGCTGGATAAGTGCTGGATGCAGTTAATACTGAATCATCACAGCTTGTGCTCTGCATGATTTTGTTGTTGCTTCAGAGGAAACAGTCAGATACAAACAAACATGCACAAAACCAGGCTATAGGCTAACAAAAATATGCTTCACACCCACACAGAGGGCAAAAGGGATTAGGTACACAGAGGCATCTGCATAAGTAGACACAAGGAATTAGGATTCAGTTCCATGCCGTTTGACATTGAAGCCTCAATAATCAGGTTGTTATAGATAAACCGAGAGCTTGGTGTGCGTGCTGCTGCTCAGCGAATTTAGAGTTCATAATTGAATTAGCCTGGTGTAGATGAACTTGCTACAAATGGTTATGTAAATGGATATTACTTTGATTATATATGACTCAAGTGAAAAAAGAGAATGTCTGCATGGTCTCACATTAGCATGCCCACTGTGTGATCTGATGTCAATAAACAATTAAGTATCCAGTTTTTATTCAATCAGATAAATTATTAGGCTACAAATTCTGTTTTTGGGAGTCAGAGAGAAGTGAAGTAGTGTTTTTTTTTTGTAATAAGTGGTGCTGTAGCTGAAAGTTGATATCAGATCTTCACACTGACTTCTCTAAGTGCTCTTTCAGACTCTATGCAAGCTGCATACATTTCCAGCTATGCAGGGGTGGTTTGGTCCATGCTTGTCATCCAGAACTTTGTAATTCCGACACAAGCATGAGTGTTATTTCATCTGTTTCCTATAGGGGCACTAATGCAAATACTGTATTGTTACTTTACTCTGAAGTCCTTATTACAGAAGAACTGTTTCTGGTGTGAAAAAACAAACAAAAAAACAATGGGCTGTACGAAGTTGTGTGTGTTCATCTTAATAGCATGTTAATAATATGGTAAATGTATGCCTCCTTTTTTTTCTTTTACCAATGATGCTTATGATGCTTTAGCAGAAGCAAAATGGCAGCAGTTTTAGTTTCTATCAGATAAATCACATGACCTGATTAGGAGCATGGGCCAGTGACTCTTGCCCCTTATTGGGTGAGTGTTGTAACGTATCTGTCAAGATGCAGGGCAGCCCCTGATTATATGTACATAAATACTTATGTGACCACTGTGTTTACAGCTGCGTTTACGTAGTTTTGTATAGAATCTAAAAGGGCCCTATATACTGTATATTAACTAATTTGGACTCCAACAATGACTGTCAAATTGTGTTTACTGCTCTGTTTATTCATATGCAGATGAACATCTGACATCATCAGCTACAGTTTCTTTCCTTGGGAAACGAAACTTGGCAGTAGAAGAGTTATTTGTTTGGCCTGCACAAAGTGTTCACTCTATGTCATGTAGCTGAGATAGGCCCAGATCTTTACTGAAATCAATAGTGAGGCTTGTAATTCACAGGAGCACTTATACTTATTTGACCAAACTTTTGTTGTCAATGTGGGAGCTTCCCTCTCAGTTGCAACAGACATTAGAAAGGCATTGGCCACAAATATAAAATAAACATTTTTGTCATCTGTCTTTTCTTTACCTTTATTTTTTGTTTCTAACTTTGCAAAATTAAGTAGATTCTCTGTCTGGATTGGAGTGATGTGCAAGGGTTTTCATGTTAAATGTCTCCCTTCCACCCCCCACCCCCTTTTTTAAACAACTGCTGCTTTCAACTAGACATTCTGTGAGCATAAAAAGGAGACTGATCTCCTGACCTAACCTCACAGCTTTCCTTTCAACAGAGCAGCAAAGTTGCACGCTAATAACTGACATTCACTTTTAATGAGCTGCTTTTTTGGCACCATCAAAGATGAAAAGTGTTTAAGGAGTAGCAGTGAATTTGGCGGCAACACCAACAGTCAGGTGTGTGTCTGTGAGAGTGTGTGTGTGTGTGTGTGTGTAAATAAACATGTACACATAGATAGAGACATAATTTGATATAGTCCTTTATCTGGGAAGTCTGCTCTCTACAGGGCCACTTATTGATGATGGGTGTGAAGCCATAAAACAAATGATGATTGAATCACTTTTATACTGCTCCAAGGACATTGCTGAGAGAAAGCAAACATCAGCGCATGTGCATGTACCATACTGTTTCCTTGCTTCCTTATAAATGTATATCTGTATGCATATATAAAAGTGTATGTCTGAAAGAAATTATTGTGCATTTTCAGATTTTGCTTATCTTTGAGAGGGTTTTAATTCCAGGCTAATGAGTATTTGTTTTAACAGTTATGCATGCTGGTGTGCAAGCACAGATTGGAAGGCATGCACACATATGTGTGTGTTCTTGTACTTGATATATAGTGAGGCCTAAAAAAGTGTTTTTTTGCTACAGAGTGAGGAGATTTGTGGAAAGTGAAGACATTTGGTCCTCACTTTCTGAACCACCTTTTTGAAGCTTAAGTTGGTTTTAGGGTTCCGGTTAGAATGAGCTTTAGGCTAGGTGTTAGGCATTTAGTTCTGATGGTAAAGATTAGAGTAAAGGGCTAGGGAATGCAATATGTCAGTGAGTGTCCTCACAAACAGAGAAGTACGTGTGTGTGTGGGTGGGTGATTAAGGGAAGTGATGTAGTGAATGCGACAGACTGTACAGATGTTCAGTAAATGGGCTGGAACAGGCAGGGAGGAAAGGGGACATCGTTCACACTCCCTCATACACATGCACACACAAACACACTCATACAGAAGAAAAAAATGAACATGTAAACCTACTGCAAGAAGATGGATACACATAGACGAGTATACATTGTGCTTTCGCTAAAGATACTGCAGATGAAATGTATAACAATTACATAATCCTGCACACACATGCCTTTACATCTTAAGTTGCATTTCTGTTGTAATAACAAGCAGAGGTAATTAACAGAATGACCTTAAATAGTAAGTCGGGATTAATGCAAAGCAGTATGGAATGTTGGATCCTGTGTGTGAGAGAGAGGTGTTGGTGTTTATGTGGCTGCCCTTTTGTTTTCAGACTCAAAGTCCCTCAGAACAATTACATCTTTTTTGTCCCATTTCCATAGTTGAACATGAAATATTTGTGTGTATGCAAATTTGACAAGTAGTGGTTATGGTTCAGGTTAGGCTAAGTCTCCAGTAAATAAATGTATGTCAGTGTAATGTCCCCACGAGGAAGTAAAACAAATGTGTGAGCACAGCAGAGGGGGGAAGAACATGGTAACAATAATCTTCCTCATAATGACCTATTGTGGGTGAAATAACTAGTATTGCTATGACAGCTATTCTTGTCACCCTCAACAATAGAAAGTGAAGGACTGTGAAGTGAGTACAGAGAACGCACTGTGACAATGGTATGGTTCTGAATCAAAATGTTTCCCCCTCGTGTTTTGCGGTTTTTCCCTGCTGTGATCAGCCCCTCACACCTCTGCCACTATTTTCATGTCTTTTTTTTCCTTTCCATCTTCCAGTGTTTTTTCTCAACTCTTTTTGTTCTTTTGTACTCATTATTTACTTCCTCCATTACCCCTTTCTTTCTTATTTATCTTTGACTCATTCTTATTCCATGTTGTCATACCTGCAGCTTTTTAAATTTTTATTTCTGTACTGTACCTTATCTCCTCTGTTTCCTTTATACCTTGTCTTCTCTCACCCAGCTCTCTGACTTTTTGTTTTATAATCTGCCATGAATGTTTAACAAGGCTGTTTCGTGAACCTCATCTTTTTTTGAAATTCTTTGCATGTCAGACTCATTGCTTGTTGATGTGGTGTTTTGGCATTCTGCAAGATCATTTTATCACTACAATTTCATCACCTGTCTGGGTGCCTCTCATGCCACAGTAACTGGTTCAGTCCAACAGTAGCTAACAGTTTATCCATTTATTCAACTAAAAGAGCTACTGTAGGTTTGTTGGAATCACTTCTACATGCCTGAGGTCATGACAGTGAGTGTTTGCAACAGTTTGGAACAGTGTTATGAACTGGGTACAGGCCAAATCAAGGTAGAGCAACTGAATATGAATGATGAATTCAAAATGAAAAGAATTCACATTCTGTCCCTGCTTGTCTTTTTCACATTTTTTACCAGGTGGTGTGTGTATTGCCCAGTCTTTGAAGATCCCTAGGGAGCCCAGACCAGGGGAGTTTGACAAGATCATCAGGCGCCTGCTGGAGACCTCCAATGCCAGGGCCATCATCATGTTCGCAAATGAGGACGACATACGGTTTGTACTGTGCCCTGTTTTGTTTGGCCTAAGTGGACCTCATGAATGCCTGTAGCCACCCCAAGTTTGAGACACCTAACAGCCTTCCCCCCTTTTTAGTTGACTTTACTTGGTTGCATAAATTGCATAAACATTGTAAAACTTTAATACACCATTTTGCTAAACAGACGAGTTCTGGATGCAGCGAAAAGGAACAACCAGACTGGTCACTTCTTGTGGGTGGGTTCAGACAGCTGGGGATCCAAGATCTCTCCTGTGATTGACCAAGAGAGAGTGGCTGAGGGAGCCATCACCATTCTTCCCAAACGAGCATCTGTAGATGGTAAGTTTGTGTAAAGATAATACTGTAGACCCATTCAAAGATGCTATGATGTCATTACACAGTAACTGACAGTAAATTAGGAATAATCTCTTAAAATAAATTTTCGTCTGCATCTGACTTTGTGATAAATGAAAAAAAGCTGAAGTTGTGTGTAGGTGTGTGTGCTTGAAGTGTAATGGATCAAATTAAGGGGACAGGAGGAAAGGCCAGAAACAGAAAGTGAAATACTGTTACAGTATGTTCGCTCTCCTGCAACTAGGAGAGAGAGCGGAGAATGACTGAACCCAAACTGCACAGAGCAACTCAGAACAGAGATTTATTATACATGGTGTCACGTGAATGGGTATGATGTGAGAATAATCAGTATTTTTTTATATTAAATTTATGTACATTAGTACTGCTTGTGCCGTCCCTGGTAGGCTAGTGGTTAAGGTGCAGCGCTTTCACCACTGTGGCATTGCGTGAGGGAGGGCATCTGGTGTAAAACACATGCCAAATGTCAACATGTGAGTCGTCAGTGTGACGATTCGGGACGGAACGTGACTTTCAGTGCTGCTTGTGTGGAGTAAGGGTAGGCATAATAAGCTTTAGCTTCAGCCTACACCTTTGGTCAATAAACAGTGTTTTTTATTTATTTCATTTTATTTTGTATGATTATGTATGTCTGCATACATGCTTTTATTCAAATAAATGTATGTACCTTTATGTTTCATGCCTTTTGTGTAAAATAATTGCAATTCTAATTTTGCTTGTTGACCAAAAAACTACTAAATAAAAAATAAATAAATATAATAGTGATATAGTTTGTTTCGTTGGCCCGGTTGGGAGAGTAGTCAGGCGAAGGAGAGCGTCGGAACCAGGAAAACGATCGGGGGCGAGCGCTTGCTTCCAGGGCAGGTGGACTAGAGGTGGCAGATGCAGGGTAGTCAGCTCTATGCCTGTGGATAGATGAAGACACAGAGGAAGAGAGGTAACAGAGTCGGTCAGGTCTCAGAGGAGTAAGGGAGAAAGCCCCGGGGCGTAGCACGCTGGAGATGGAGGTTGGAGCTGGTCACGGTGGTAGAGAGCTGGCAAGAAAAAGATGGCACCGTAACACCGCTGATGGAGGCGAGTGCAGTGGCGTGTGTAATGCAGTAGGTAAAGAGCGAAGCAAACAGATCAGGTATAGTTCTTTCTGGAGGAGCTGATCCTCGTCTAGCGGACGAAACAAACTGGCACTGCAGTAGCAGCTGACCGGGTCTTAAGTAGTGCAGCTCTAATTAGTGGGATTAGCCACAGCTAGGAGGCATACCTCTCTCCAGGACCTGGGGAGAGAGAGCAGGAGAGGACGAGAGAGGGAACGGGGACCAGGAGAGACAGGGAGCAGCAAGCAAACCTGACAAATACACTCATGTCTCTTTGCTCTTGATCCCAGCAGGCAACACATTTTTTCCATTAGACCAGGGAGGATATCCTCATTTCCTCCCTGTCAGTGCTTCCTATTAGATAATTGACTCCTGGAGGACCACAAATGGTGAGAAGATATAAACTGAAAGTGAGGGAGGGAGAGCTTATAGAGAACTTTAAATGAATCAAAGTCAACTTTGGCTGGTTGCCATGACAGGACATACTATAGTATCTTCAGAATAAATAGAGGAGTTGGAAGATTAATGAAGAGTGCATTCACCTACTTACCAATTTATTAGTGATAGATTTAAAAAATCCATCCATCCATCCATCCATCCATCCATCTTCATCCGCTTCATCTGAGACCGAGTCACGGGGACAGTAGCCCGAGCAGAGCCTCCCAGACTTCCCTCTCCCCACATACCTCTAGCTCCTCAGGAGGAACCACAAAGCGTTCCCAGGCCAGCTGGGAGACATAGTCTCTCCAACGTGTCCTGGGTCTGCCCCGAGGCCTTCTCCCAGAGGGACTTGCCCATGGCGGTGTCCAGAAGGCATCCTAAACAGGTGCCCGAGCCACCTCAACTGGTTCCACTCAACACGGAGGAGCAGTGGCTCTACTCTGAGCTCCTCACGGGTGACTGAGCTCCGCACCCTAGTGGCGGTGTTAAAAAATGGTGTTGATTATTCTTTTTCCTGGATTCACACTGGAGGCGATGCAAACAAAAGTCTGGAGGGCTCCTGAAAGTTCAAAAAGCATTCATTTTCTTTACGAGCTCAGAGAATAAAACACACACACAATGCAGTCTCTCTGCTTTATTTTGTTGTTTCAAGTAATTACTGTATTTCTCCTCTACACTACAAGCCCCCTTTCTCCCCTTGACCAGTAGGCAACTATTGCTATGCTTTTTACCTAATGTGACATGTGAAAGCAAAATTACTTTAACTAATAAAATCCACACGTACACAAGGCTTACTAAAGTTCAAACACAGGACACAGTCTCAGCTTTGAGTCTTCTAAACAACAAGATAAAAGAACAGGCATAGCTCAGCGCCTGGCATTCTCCTGCACTTCTTGTGTTCATCCAAGTATAACAACCTTAACCTTGAGATGCCTGAAACTGAACACAGAAACACATAGTTTTACAAAATATTAAAGCAATGTTCACACAGGTAATTCTGACCAAATGATTAAAAGTACACGATTACGATACATGAATGATGCAATATAATCCAATAATGCTACAATAAATCCTGTCTTTGTGGAGCTTTAAATGTTCAGTTTTTGTTGACACTGTGTCAGAGAGATGTTGATTCAACTCTAAGGTCATTTTTGATGCAGTAGTTTGTAGTTAAAATGTTCACCACTTTTGCTTCCTGAGGGGAAAATATTTTTTATATTGAGTGTACTAAAAAAGTACATGAAAGTACATGACCCTATATTTTGTTATTTAATTTTCCTTTTAAATGTGTAGTTGACATTCCTGGCAAAAACTAGCAAGAGGAGGCTTGATTTTGAAAGTAGCCAACTGAAGAAATCCCACCCTTTCATTCTGATTTCTCTCCAAAACCACTCCTCCAAAACACAACACACACTGCAACGTGCACTTACTACTTACAGATTTCATAAAAATAACAAATGGCCCCCAAACAAAAAAATTCATAATTCCCTGTCCAGCCCCGAATCGCATCGCTTTTCAGCCCCTTTTATTCTCTGTTCTCGCCATTGTTCAAAAGCCACACCAATGTAAATTTTTGGTGTTACTACTTGCAGCACCTAACTTTTTTTTAGTTATGACTTTGTCGACTACAGTCTCAACCAGGGAGCGAAAGCTGCTGTGGGTACCTTCTCTGTCACAGCTCACTAGCTTTAGCTATAAAAACAGACAGGTAACACGTCTGCCTGCCTGGCCTTGTGGGAGACTCTTGGCTCAAGGAATGAGTGCAAGGGCAGGGTGCGCACAAGTAGGAAGTAGGTTGACAGGCAGGTAGGTCATCCAGTGGTTTTGCTCAGACTTAGTAAAATTATTGGTCAGTCTTTTTTCAGCCCTGCTGCTGCCACAGATGACAGATGACTTCTCAGTGCACTGTCAGTGCATTTAATGTATTCATTGCCATCAGGATGAAAAGAGAATATTAAAAATGTAACAGAAAATGCTTCTGAAAAGAATCACCAACTCTACCTTTAAGACTGTTGTCAGTTCCCTTTATTTGTGCTGAAATATTTTTTCATTTAAAGGAATAGTCTCATACTTTGGGAAAGTACTCACTTGCTTTCTTGCCGAGAGTTAGATGAAAAGATGCATCCCGTACCACTGTCATACCTTTCCATTAAATGTGAAGCTAGGACATGGTTTGCTTAGCTTAGTTTAGTACAAAAACTGGAAAAGAGGAAACAGCTAGCCTTGCTATCTTAAAAAATAAAAAACAAAACTAATCTAATGTTTATTGTAAAAATGTCAGACTATTCCTTTCATCAAATAACCATAGGAACTTTATAGGATTCAGTATTCCTGAATAATTGCTCAATTTTCTTAATAAATGCAACAGATATGAACTTTTCTCATAGTAACACAAGTGCTTATTTTTGGGAGCATCACATCTGTGGTCACAATGAGTAGCGGTTAATCCCAAATGACATGCTACTTGTTAAGCTACATGGGCAGTAAACCCTCTGTTCCCACCAGTCTGACTATGAATTGAGCTGCACAGGTGCAGACGGGACCAATTTCCCTGTCAGCAGAGGAAATTTATCAAGGCAGCTCTTGTCAGCTTTTACAGCGAAGTCAAGCATGGCACCGGCTGTCCAAGTCAGTCTGATCGTCCAAGGTGATTTCCCCACCCTCCATGGGTTGTTTCACATGCACTCTGTTTCCCTGAACTATAGTCCCAGTGGTGCTGGAAACTACACCTTCTTTTTATTAGTCAAGTGTAAATCCTTTACAGCTTCTTGGTGCATACCTGAGATCCACATGGAAAATAAAATCTTTCCCTGGTTTTAAATAGCAGACACACCGCTGATGATGTTAAAGAGCTGGATAAAGCAGTGTGTTGATAGAAAAAGTCTTCTAAAAATCCAGTTTTGTCAAAGACAACAAAGCAAAAAACTATCTTCCCAATTAATGCTGAGAGGAACAAAGCAGTACAAGTGGAGGTGTGTTTTTGTCTTGCTCATTTCTTTGTTCTATTGCACATCTCTTCATCTTAGCCTGCCAGCCTCTGACAGGTATTTCCATTCTTATGTGTGGAAAAATGTGTTATTCCCAGTTTCTCTCCTTCTCTCCTATTTATTAAATTGGACAAGTAGCCGGAGTATTGTGAAAGTTTGGTTTAAAAGTTTGCTCTGTCTGCTCTTGGCTTCAGTATTTGATAGGAGCTCCAGTACTGGATGGCTCCACAGATGTTCAGTCATATTTTAGATCCATAGACTGTTCATAAAACATGTTTTTGTATCCCACCGTAGTGTACACCTGATTTTTAAGACCAGGCAGGCTCACTGGAAAGGAAGCCCTTAACCTCTGCAGCATTAGTGTGCTTCTCCTATTACAGCATTTAGCCAGATCTGTGAAGTTTAGTAAACGATTCTGATGATGCCAGTTAAAAACTCTTTATGGACTAATAGGTGTATTAAATGATGCTTCAAAAAGGAAAAGTAGTAATCCATCTTCAATCTATGTTTTTAACTTTTATTCTCTCTGTCTTTTTGACAGCATTTGACCGGTATTTTCGTGGCCGATCTCTGTCCAACAACAGAAGAAATGTTTGGTTTGCTGAATTCTGGGAGGAAAACTTCAACTGTAAGCTGGGGATGCATGGCAAACGACCTGGTAGTCTGAAGAAATGCACAGGTAAGGCTATACTTTGGCTTCTTGCATTTTAAAAGTAGCTATCCACCACAGCTTCCACCATTTGGAACAAAGAAGGAAACTTACAAACATCACACAGTCTGAAATTAGGTGGATGTTTTTCAGATTGCTCAATAGTACAAACACAAAAAGAGATTAAAATGCTTCTAGCTATAGCTTATGTACACATGTAACAAAGTCTGTAACACATCATTTTTCCAGTTTGAAACGGCTGTTTTTACTCCACAGATGCCAAACAAGGACTAGATAAACAAAATCCCAAAACTACCTGTTTTTTTAATCTCTTCTTTGCATTTATCAAAAGCTTTCACAAACCTTTTTACAAGATTAAAAATGCTAGAGTAACCAGTTCACCCATAAAGAGACACATCTTTTTGGACTTTTCCAGTTAGCCCAACGCACAATGCCCTGTGCAGATTTACCACATTACTGTGGATCGTCTAAGGCTTCACTGGAGCATCAAAACATGGGGGTTTAATTTGTGTATGTGTGTGTGTGTTAAATATGGATATTTATGGTAGGCTACACTGCTGGCTCTAATAACTACCCTTAAAGCACCAATCACATTAGCTGTTAAGTTCCAAGGAGCAGTACAACTCAACAAGAACAATTGTTTGTGTACTTAAGGCTTAAAAAGAAATTAAATAATTGTTGCACTCTGTGCTTTTAAGTAGTTTCCTGCTTATGTTCAGTATGTGTAGAGTATATGTGTGTATTTGTGCTGTAATTGGGACCTCTTGCTGTCATTGGTTTGTACCTGTGTATTGTACATGACCTGTGTGGTTTGGCCAGCATTTTTCAGTCATGTCAAAATGCCTGAAGCTTGTTATTTTACACAAGGCCAAGCATATCATCAGTAATGATGTGCACTTTCATAGCACCTACAGCTGCTACCGGATACATAAAAAATGCCACATTTACAGCAGTTTGTGGTGCTGTTGGACATTAGGTGTATATATGCCTGTGATTACAAACATCAAACCTTTTCAATTTACAATAGGTTCTTCACGACCTCATGCTGCTGTGATTGAATTTGTATGTTTATGTGTGTGTGTCACATGCACATAAACATAGTATTCTCCAGCTGGTGCCTCCCATTAATGTAGATTATTAAGTTTGTAAGGGCTGTGACTCCTATTGACCATCTATTACTAGCTGTGGCATCTGTGTATGTGGGCGTGTACATGTTGAGCGCCCTGTAGTTGTGTGACAGAGTCCATTAATTCCAAGTGCTGGGGTTCATGACCTTAAAATCCTCAACACAAAAGCCAATCAGCAGCCTGCTCAAGGCCACTGTGTTGACACAGGTGATGGGAGGATGTGAAAATGGGTGTGATTATTGCATATGATTAGGCTGAGAGGGGGATACAAATAGAAAGTGAAATAGTGTCAGCAAGTGCACATAAGAAAAAAGTAACAGGAGGCAGAAGTGAAAAAATGTTTAGATGCACAAATTAGAAACAGAGACATAGAAATAATACAAAAATACATGAATAAGGGGAAAACAACAAATGAGAGGGGTCAAACTAATCAGACACTGTATGACTGAGATCAGGAGAAAGAAATGAGTGTAAAGAGTTCTCTTTGAACCCAATGCCTATGACCTAAGGCCTGTCTTCGTCTGCTTCCTCTTCTTCGTCATCTTATTCTTCTCCTTTTTCTCCTTATTATTATTAATCTTCATCATCTTATTCTTCATCTCCTTAGTTGTAGGGTAGAAAATATTCACTTATTGCCAGAATGGACTGGGAAAAATTATAATAAAGGCACTCTGACTTCTGAGTAAAGTAACAAACCTCTTTCAGGCATGGTTGATATTCTTGTAAGCACATCAGCCAGGACAACTCAAACGGGTATAAAACTCAGTTCTGTTGAAAGCATGCAGCCAGGTAAAACTGACGCCCGAGGGGAAGCTGAGAGAAGAAAACACCAGATCACAGATAAGCCTGCATACAGTAGACACTTACATGCTCACAAACACTTTCACACCCTGCAGTAGCTGCAGATAAAATCATGAATGATTGCACAAGCGCTGTGTTAATTAATGTGGTACTTTGACACCTGATCATCAAATCTCACTGTCTTTGTTTCTTTTTTAAAGATACAAATGAATATTAGTCCTGTCTTTCTTTCTTTGTCAAGCATATCCACACACCCTTTTTATACTGTAGATGTACTAACCTGAACTATGACTCAGAATTCTCAGTGATGTGAAATTTCAATTTAGTAATATTCAGGAAAAAAAAAGTCATCTTCACTGAGATACACATTCTCAGTCAGGTCAGTCAGTTGTTATAAGTGAAATAAAATTTTGCAGAATTGTCATTTGAATAAATCTGTAATGGTACAGTCCAGCCAAACACTGCAGCATCACCAGACACCTCAGAGAATCAAAATACAATTGACAGATGACTTGCATGGTTGCTGGAAATTGGCTTCCTAAGTGAAACAGATCAGAGCATGACCTCCACATGGTTTGAATAAAATGGCAGTAAAATGACAGTCACAGTCAAAATTTTGCTCACCCACTGTTTGCTCTCTGCTTATAATCCCATCATGCTCTTCAGGATGGATTCACTGGTCCTTGTAGAAAATGAATGGAGGACTGCAGCTCCACCTAACAGGCCAAACTGTGACTTTCTCAAGCCATCATATCCTTGTTTTTTGTCCCTGCTCTGGGCTGGACACATAAGCACACTTGAACAGCCATGACAGGTACAAATGCACACTTTCTGTCCACATACTTTTCCTCCTGGACGTATCAGTGGTTCCCTTCCAAAAGTGAATAACACTGGTTGTGACAGGAGCTATAAGCCTTAGGTACACACACAGGAATTAAAGTGCATTGTGAACTGGAAACAAGTTGTTATACTGTTGGCTTTTCCCCCCTTTGTCCTTTCTTTTGTGTGGGCTGTGAATTGTGTCACTCACTAGGGAATAATACATTACCAATGGTGGTGGTGGTCTTTCTTTACTTTGACTGTCAACTTTGTCAACTTGTTCTCTGGCTGGCTTTTTCTCACTATTTTTCTGTCAGCTCTTCAGTCCAATTCACATTTAAAGAGCTTTATTGACTTATATGCACTGATTTTCTGGATTTAAAAATGCTGGATAGATATTGACATAGATCATGGAGCATTTACAACAGAAGATTCAAAGGTGCAGTATGTAAGATTTAGTGACATCTAGCAGTGAGGTTGCAGATTGCAATGTTCAGCAACTCTTTCATACTATTGCTGTGTCCCAGTTCAGGGGACGCATCTCTCAAAAGGTGGCATTTGAAGACTGACTGCATCATAGCGTCAGGACAAGGTCATCCCATTTCAAAAGCTCCTTCAAAAGCAGCCGAGAAATGCATTCTTCTTTTGCTGGCCAACGAAGGCTCCCGCTGGTGAATCCTTCATGGCTCAGTCTATCCCAAGATTCTTTGCGTGCTGACAGAAAGCAGAGCAGGTGTCAAGGTTGCTTGACAACAGGAACGGTGCAGTGCATGGTCCGGCGTTTGTGGTCTATGACGACTACATCAGCCATGCGTTCATAGACTGCGTTCTTTGAAATATGCGGCACCTGAATTGAGACACAGCTATTGTTTTCAACGACCCTCACAGCTTTTTCACAGTGATTACCATAAATGTACGACAAATTGTATACTCAGTAAACAAGTACAGCTGACTTGACCAAGCAAAAGAAAATGGCAGCTCACTTAAGTGTAATTTTCAAGAAGGCTGAAAACACGCATATTAAGATGTGTAATACTACCATTTTATTTTTTAGGCCTATTAGTAAACTCTCAGCTAGGTTTTAAATGTGCATCTCGGCCACTACAAGCACCTTTACCGTATTTGCATGCAAAGAAGCTCAACAAAAGTCAAATGGCACCTGGCTTGAGCAGGACCGTTTTTCAATACCAAGCACGCCAAGTTTGAACTCCTATACTTGGCAGTACAGACTTGGTAAGTTCAAGTTTTAAGTACAATTTCCTGAGAATGGGAGGACACACTACCCTCAGTGTACAATTGGAACACCAGCATTCTTTCTGACAAACTACCATGCTCTTAACGAGATGTAGTTGGTTTGTTCACAAGTACTGGCACCTCTGAAAATATAGGAATAAATTTCCAGATCAGCTGTTACGATTGGTTCCCCTCACCAGGAGGGTGAGGGAGAACTGGGGTTGGACTCACGATTGCTGACCCAGGTGCTAGTACAAAAAGGGGGTTTATTGTAAAAATCAACAACAACAAAACAACATAACAGGGTCCGTAATACTTACAGTAAGGGAAGGACAACTAAGGAGACCAGGACGAACAGGTACACACACAAACTAACGGCAGGAAACAGGAGTAGAGGACCAGGAAGGACAGGCAAACAAAACGGATATCCACAGCACAGGGACTGTCAGCGTGGACATCTCACACAAAAAACAGAAAACACTCAACCAACATTCAAAATGAGATCCACAGCACAGGTACTGTCAGCCGGGAAATCAAAATGACATAATTCAGGTACATACAGTAAGGTAAGTTAGGTAATGCTCCAGCAAAGACAGAGCATCTGCCGGAGGTTTAAATAAGGAGAAAAAGTAATCATCGGGATGCACCCCAGCTGTGTGCATCGACAAACCAGTTGCTAATTACTGGAATGCAACACAGCTGAGGTGCAGAGCCCACATGATAAAGAGAGTAGAGGAGAGAAAAACGAAGGAGAGGCAGCGGCCCTAACATCAGCATTGTTTAATAAACTGAACACATATTCGTGATCTAAACAATTACTTTCTCACCTGAAAAAATATCAAAGTTTTATAAAGTGGCATAATAACAGTCCTAGGATGAAAATTTTAACACCCCAGGTTTTTGCAATTGATGGCTCATTTGACAGCAATTAACATTATCCTGTTTCCTTGTGTCTTTGCTTCTTTGACAACTGGGATTAACTCTCTTCCTTTTTCTTTTGTTAAAGTATAGCTATGGTCCTCCATTTAT